GAACTAAAACAAGCAAAAGAGTACTGAAGATTGTGTCAGTAGTTCTTTTTGCTCCTGAAAATTGTTAAAAAGTTCTTAAAAATGTATGAGTGCAAAACTGTAACATCTGCCTTAATTTACATTTTTGTCTGCTGGTTTTTTTATTGTTGTTGTATTGACTACAAATCGTTATAAAAGAGGGAGTAGGGATGTGCCAACAAGAATATACACCAAAAGTATGAAAGTTGTTAGAACTTGGAAATTTAGCGGTGGCTAAAATAAAAAGTGTTACACCATGTTACAGTTTTGCCCGTCACTGTACATACATACAACTGGTAACGTATTTGTAATAATAGGCAAAAGAAACACTACCACACTCGTCGAAATAATGAAAAGACACTTTTCACCATTATTAATGGAAATAAATATACTTACTTAAAATACAGCGGCTCCGCTGGCTTGGTCATGTCGTTCGAATGGACACCGACGCTCCAGCTCTGAAAGTATTCAACTCGGAACCCGCTGGTGGTAGCAGAGGAAGAGGGAGGCCCCCACTGCGATGGAAAGATCAGGTGGAGAAGGACTTGGCTTCACTTGGCGTTTCCAATTGGCGTCAGTTGGCACAGAGGAGAAACGACTGGCGTGCTTTGCTGAACTCGGCCAAAATCGCTTAGGCGGTTGCAGCGCAAAAAAAGAAGAAGAAGAAGAAATATACTTACTTTCTTATGAATTCGGCATAAGTAGACTCAATTTGATATTTAATTTGGCCCGTGCATCACTGCGGAGTGAAGCATATCAACATACCTTATACCGAATTCACACACTCCAATTTGTGATATGCGAACATAATACCATACGTACATCAACAAGTTTAATATGTCAAAGGAAATTTCTTCGACAAACAAAGATATGTATAGCCAATACACTCGCCACCCAACATAAATAAAAAAGGCGTATTTCAGAAAACTATGACTCGCTTCAAGGCAGTTAGACGAAACGCCACGAAGAATGCCCATCGCTTCGTCGTGCCGTGCCACTTATGCGACGAAAACCACCCAATAAGGGTATGCCCGGTTTTTCGGCGAAAACCCATGAAGAAAGGTTAAGAGAAGCGCTACTTGGTCGATGCTGTGGAAATTGCTTAGCCACAAATCATGAAACCGAACGATGCACCAGCGAAGGACGATGCCGTTGATGCGGTGAGAAGCACCACACTATGCTTCACCTCGGTGAAGCTCGACGACCCGTAGAGGAAGTACAAAAGCCTTGGAGCATCCAAGTCGAAGAAGAAGAGTGCAATAATTATGAGGCGGCTATCTCAATATACGCATCTGATTCTGGAATGGATACCAGGCCTCTCCGTCCAGATATTGAAGAGGGCGAGATTATCGAGTTCGGAGTGGAGACTCGGTCTCTCCACCTGACTACTGTGAGGGGATCGGAAACTAGGTCTTTCCGACCCCCACTCCAACATGAGCANAGAAGAAGAGTGCAATAATTATGAGGCGGCTATCTCAATATACGCATCTGATTCTGGAATGGATACCAGGCCTCTCCGTCCAGATATTGAAGAGGGCCAGATTATCGAGTTCGGAGTGGAGACTCGGCCTCTCCACCTGACTACTGTGAGGGGATCGGAAACTAGGTCTTTCCGACCCCCACTCCAACATGAGCGCGACCGCCAACGACCACATAAGCGCCAACTGCCCCACAAGCGACAGCGAAAGCATCAGCGTCAGCGAACGCATCAGAGACGCCAAAGAAATTGCAGAGCGGAAACTCGGCCTTTCCGCCTGCAGTGATCTTCGCACAATTCATCGCCATCCGCACATTGCGTTCCGTAATGGGCTAACGGCGCAAAACTCCGTTGTAGGGCCAACCCTCCGCCCTATGGTCGCTATCCCTCCGACGGCCGTGGTTAAAGTTGAGGCGAGAGAGCGCTTACATTTAGTCCGTGCTCTTATTGACGTTTGCAGTCCCACGTCAGTTGTATCTGCGGACCTGGCCCGCGAGCTACGTCTGGAGANATGGGCTAACGGCGCAAAACTCCGTTGTAGGGCCAACCCTCCGCCCTATGGTCGCTATCCCTCCGACGGCCGTGGTTAAAGTTGAGGCGAGAGAGCGCTTGCATTTAGTCCGTGCTCTTATTGACGTTTGCAGTCCCACGTCAGTTGTATCTGCGGACCTGGCCCGCGAGCTACGTCTGGAGCAAACACGAGTCGGCGAGCAAACGGGCAGTCTCTTATGTCTCCGAGGGAAACACGGCCAGAATAGGCGAGTTGCGGCCCATGCCGTGGTTACGCCTCATTTTCACCGAGTAGCGCCAAGCATCAGCATAGATCCGACCGTTGCCGCATCGTACGCATATATCCGGTTAACTGATCCCAAGTTTTACAATTCCGCGCCGATTCGTCTGGTACTCGGAACCGACGTTTACGCCGATATTCTGCTACCCGGCATTCTTCCGAACACCTTCGGGCCTCTGCTGGCTCAGAGCACCATCTTTGGGTGGGTACTCTCCGGAGTCTGCAGAGCCTAGTTTTTAAATGGAGTTTTTTACTTATATCCATACCCTGCAGTACGGGGGAGCGACTACAGGACTGATGAATCGGTAGCTACCTGCTAAACTCCGTCAATTACGACTACTTGCTGTGTATTTCATCGATTACTTTTACAAGGCAATGTCCTAGGCGGTAGTCAACATCGGCTCTCTCTGCACCACCGGGAGTTACTAAAGTAGTCACTTGCGTGATTTATGGGCGCCCTCTGTCGTAGTTTTTCGCTATTCTGCACTACCACGGGTTAATAGAGTAGCTACTTACCTAGGAGTACTGGAGGGTAGTTTCAAATTGGATTTTATTTCTATTGCAAAAAAACAATGAATTTTTTGTATTCATATAAGATAAGTCGTGAGTGCATTTGAATGGTAACCACACCTATTTTTCAATTTCTCTCCTGTAGTAGCGACAAAGAAAGAAGGCCNTAGTTTCAAATTGGATTTTATTTCTATTGCAAAAAAACAATGAATTTTTTATATTCATATAAGATAAGTCGTGAGTGCATTTGAATGGTAACCACACCTATTTTTCAATTTCTCTCCTGTAGTAGCGACAAAGAAAGAAGGCTGAACTTGATGGACGCCGCCGCCGCTGCTGGAACGCTTATTGGTGTTTCCAGATTTGAAATTTAAATTTTTATTAATATTATTAATAATAAAACTCCTCCAAAAAACCATGTGCGCCTGGTAGCTGAGACGCAACAGATTTTCTAAATGATTGCTTACCGCAAGGGGGCCGGAATCTTTAGGCGCACAGCCTAAAGATTCTTTTTAACACTCTAGTGATCCGCCCTAGTGTTAACTTATGTACTCACACAAACTTACAAGCTCATACATTATTATAACCCTCGAGCCGTTAACTAATATCCCGCCGGACAACGAAATTTCGTTAAGTTTCCCCTCAACGTCAGTTATTGTCCGGCGGTCCAAACTAAAAAACCGCAAATTGTTAACTTCACTGAGCGAAGACATCAGCTACCAAGCCACATCATATTTCCGGAGGTAAATCACTTGTAGAAAACCAAATTAATATTTATAACGAGTATCGAATCATTAATATTAAAAGCACTTGACTAAANTTAACTAATATCCCGCCGGACAACGAAATTTCGTTAAGTTTCCCCTCAACGTCAGTTATTGTCCGGCGGTCCAAACTAAAAAACCGCAAATTGTTAACTTCACTGAGCGAAGACATCAGCTACCAAGCCACATCATATTTCCGGAGGTAAATCACTTGTAGANAATAAAACTCCTCCAAAAAACCATGTGCGCCTGGTAGCTGAGACGCAACAGATTTTCTAAATGATTGCTTACCGCAAGGGGGCCGGAATCTTTAGGCGCACAGCCTAAACCAAATTAATATTTATAACGAGTATCGAATCATTAATATTAAAAGCACTTGACTAAAACCAAGTTTATTTGTCTTTTTCTTCACAATTCAACATTGGTGTGACTATTTTGCGCAATCGAGTAGAGCCGCAATACAGCCACATTGGTGTTTTCACACATTGTACACATTTTCTCAATGTTGGTGGCAGTCATAACTGGATTTGATAAGCTTTAACTTTATTACTAACCTGTTAATTTCCTGCATTCTTTGGAAGCATGACATCGGTGCACATAGACACGTAAGTAGCAATTTGCTGCAGCCAATTACAGAAAGACGCTGTGGTGTAGTGGTAAGCAGTGCCCGCTTTCAATCATCAGCACCTGGGTTAAAGCCCTGGCCAAAGCAACATCGTAAAAGATATAGGAACACGTNTGTGGTGTAGTGGTAAGCAGTGCCCGCTTTCACTCATCAGCACCTGGGTTAAAGCCCTGGCCAAAGCAACATCGTAAAAGATATAGAAACACGTTTTTTTTTACAGCGGTCGTCCCTCGGCAGGCAATTGCAAACCTCCGAGTATATTTCTGCCATGAAAAACAGCTTCTCTTAAAAATACAATCGCCGTTCGGAGTCGGCGTAAAACTGTAGGTCCCTCCGCTTTGTGTCACAACATCAAGGCGCACGCCACATGTCGGAGGAGAAGCTCGGCCAAATACTAACGTATGTGTAAGCGCCAATTTATTATTATTATTATTAATTGCAGAAATCACGTACAGTGGGATAAGTCATTTGCAAAGTAAATATATGACGATACCATTCTTCTCTCTTGTTAACCGGCAGCTTGCAAACAAGTTCCTCAAGAAGAGCCGGATTATTGAGATGCGTATGGCTCCGGAATTTTCCAGGAACGCTGTTAAATTAGATACCATATCACTGAGGTTGAGGATTTCAGTTATTCGTCCTCCGGTTACTACAGGAAACGATCGAGCTTTTGCTATTTGACTGCGGATTAATAACTCCAGTCGGCCGTAATGAAATTCTTGAGTTTTCATCGCAGCATCTACACTATTTGGGTGGATAAGCAACGATTCCACCTGCCGTCCGGCTCTACCTTTTACNGATATTAAAAAATAACAACAACAAAACAACAACAGTAAAAAATTCGATCAGACTAACATTATAACAAATATCTACTTTTTTAATTTATACGTTTTTCTATAGAAGTAAGCTTTGCGTTTGTGGAAGGCTTTCTTAAAATTTGCTTCATAGGCCTCGTAAGATAAGTTTTCCTCCTTCAAAGCATCTGTAAAAGAGTATATATTTATAACAAAAGAATTACAGAACAATTTGGTATCATTACCAAAAAAGAACGTATTAAAAAGCTTATAGCTATTAATTGCCACCTTATTTTTTGCGCCATCCCAGTTGATTTTTAAAATTAACTCGTCTCCAAAAATCTCGTCGATAAATTTAAAAATTGGCCTTCTTCCGAACTTGCTTCTTAGATAAGTAATCTGCAATGATATTAATAATTTATAAAAAAAATTATAAACATGTGCGGGTATTTTAAAAAATACTTACAACTTCCTGCTCGTTTTTACTTAAAATTAAAGTCTCAGCAGCTTCCAGGTCTTCAACGGAATCCAAGGGGAAAACTCCTAAGTCCTGTTTTTTTGGTTTGAGCACTTTTAAAACCTCTTCCAAAAGAACGCTTTGCTTTGAGGCCAGTTGCAAAAGGTACCGATTTTGTTCTTCCAGTCGTTTTAAGGCTTCAGTCACCGGGTCAGTGTCGGTACGAGGTCCACTTACTATATTGCTTGTTCCTGTAATTAAGTATATTAAACAAAAGATACAAAGACGTAACAAACATCATCGCTTAAATGGAAAAAGTAGTGAGTAATAATATTTTTGCATAAAACGATGTGGGGAGTTGCAATTCGTTCAAATACATAATATCAATCAAAAATTGAACTTTGCATTTTTTATTGCTTACGACTTTTTGCATTTTACGTGACGATATGAGGTTTTCTTTTAAATCGGTAAAATATATTTATATATCTACATATATATACCCTTGGGGTCAGCTGATTAAGTCAAGTGACATTTTGACTAATTTTGGTTATTTTTCTTTTTTTCTGCATACCCAAAAATTTCTAAAAATTGTAAATAAAAAGCTTAACATTTTTGGGTGCAAAAGTAAATTTTTTTGCATAGCGATTGAAGAAAATTCAAACTTNTTTTTTTGCGTCACCCGAAATTGACTTGCATGCGTTTGCATTTGATTTCATTGAGCGAAACGTCAAATCAAAATGTCACGCAGAACAAAAATTGGAAATTGAGTTAGCTTCATACGCACGCCGTTCAATTTCGGTTGATCTCATACAAGTTGCATGTGCATGAGTAATTTTTGACAATAAATTGGCGGCGTGCGTGAATATTAGGTTAGCCTGTCATACGGAGTGTTGGAGTATGTATGAGTACGGCCGTGTACGATATGGCGTATGAGTAACATTATTTTTTTTTGGTAGTAAAAGTGCAACATGAAATCAATTTAATTCAACGTTGCGTATGATAAACTTTTTTGAATATTATGCTGAGTATTTACAAATTCAGCATAAAACACATGTAAATACATATGTATGCATAAGTGCCAATTATTTAACATACCGCTTCCGTTTGTAAAAATGGATCCTATTTGCCCGGACAACCAAGAGGTGCTAGCGCAATCTAAAAGCAGATATATTAGTCAAATAAATTCGTATACAAAAATAATTATGCTGTTTATATACAAACCAATAGAACAGAATTGGAATTCGCGGTTATTTTCCATTACTTTAATTTCTTCCCGATTGATACGTTGAATTTTTAGTTATTTTTCTCTTANATAAATTCGTATACAAAAATAATTATGCTGTTTATATACAAACCAATAGAACAGAATTGGAATTCGCGGTTATTTTCCATTACTTTAATTTCTTCCCGATTGATACGTTGAATTTTTAGTTATTTTTCTCTTATTATTTTTTATTGATAGCTTATTCGGTGAAATCAAAGTTTTCTTAAAGCAAACCCGTGTATAACACCACTTGGCGAAACTCCGTGGCTTTCCAACGAGGCAATTCTTCGAAGGATCTACATTTTCGGCCAAACTCCTTTGGTGTGCATTTGCGAATAATTTTCATCCTTTCGTTTATCAAATCTTTTCCAACCAATTTCTTTTTTTTGTCCAAACTTTTCCCTTGCCATAATAACATGCAATTTTTTTTGACGACCCCTAAATCNCTTTTTTTTGTCCAAACTTTTCCCTTGCCATAATAACATGCAATTTTTTTGACGACCCCTAAATAAATGCATAACATCTAAAGGAACTTGTGTCACCATCTTTACACCACACTTTTCTAGTGGATGTGGATATTCTAGAAATTTCGGTACGTGATAATTGGTTGATGTTCGAAAAGCAAAACTTTCGTCGGTCCTCATTTCCCCAGTAGTTAAGCTATAAGCAAGTCGTCTATTTCTACTTACAGCTTTTTGCTGACATTTTGAGCAACCATATGAGCATGTATGTCCAACGGTTCCTGTTAAAAAAGCTCTAGCTGGCGCGTCGCAAACAATAGCTCTAATTTCCGGTTTGAACCATCTTTTAGAACAAAGCATGCCGTTGGTTTTAAGAGAGATATATTCACTAACAAACCTCTCCAAGTACTTCACAACATCTGGGGGCTTGGAGGGTCCAATATACGTGCCTATTAAAAACGGCGATGGTTCATTACAATTTGAAATTGCTCCCAAAATTGGCCATAGCGTTTTGCAGGAACTTTTAAAAATTGGCAACCCATCACAAAATGTATCTAATAATAATTTTTCGCCTTCTATATCCATATTTTCGACTTGAGCGCGTAACGATTTTTCTAACCCAAAATGGAAATATTCACCGGGTGGTAATGGATCTACAATGATTTCTTTTGCTTGATAACTTTGGAGCAGTGTTTTTTTTGTTGAAGGTACAGGCAAATTTTCTTTTTTCAAAATAGCGAGAAGCTCATTGCACATTCTCCTCGGGACACGATTTTTTATTGCCCATATTGCTAATTTTTTAGTAAGCGATGGCTCTTCGTCGCCATCATATGTCGAGCAATTAGGGCTTTCTTCGTTTACATCAACATTACTATATGCATAATTTTCTTCCGCTTCTGCAATTAAATCGTTACTCACAATTAAATTTTGTAGCTCCTTTTTTTTTTTTGTCTTTTTGATAAAAATTTATCGGAATCTACAAAATCATTGTAGTCAGTAATTAATATATAATAAATTTAAACAAAAGTAATACATACCGATAGCCGTTAATTTAAATTCGCTTTGACTTGCCATTTTTATTTTTTTCACCAAGGAAATGTATGGATTTCTGTAAATTTTTTGTTTTATATTGTTTTTCTTTTATGATAAGTTATTCCAAAAGCACACAATTTTCTTTAAATTTCAGTACCTATTGCTCCAAAATCATGTAAAAGGAACCCTCCTGGATTTCTCTTTTTACGAGACATCGCTTTTTGTTCCTAAGCGAGTAATACGGGAGTACAAAAACGAAAAATCTCGCTCATTGCTCCCAAATCATGCCTCATGGAGCAATATTTTTTTACTCGTTTAGGAGACATCGCTTTTTGCTCCTAAGCGAGTAATACAGGAGTACAAAAATGAAAAGTCTCGCTGATTCCTCCTTAATCATGTCTCAGGGAGCTTTACTATTTATCTTGTGATTTCTCTAAATATTCGCATGGCGATTATCTATGAAATCATTGAACTTGCCACATTGCAACCGAGAAACTTTCGAAGAAGAACAACGCTACCATTTGCGAAGTCGGATTTTCACATCGAACATTCGCGAAGTTAA